TTTTTTTTTTTAAAGGGCGACGGCCTTGAGGTATTATCATCGGACTAACCAGCCCACGTAAATTCAATCTTGTGTCTAATCTGACAATGGTGGCCTTTTCAGCCCAGGGTGGCCTGGCCTGATAGCCTTAGGGTGGCCTGATAGCCTTCAGGGAACCCCCAACCGGGGGCACCGGCCAGGGGACAGCCGGTGGCAGAGGGACCGAGCATCATCTGAGTGGCCAGTCGCTGTGCCTCCCCGATTACCCCTCCCCCTATGAACATCAGCAGAGCCTGCTTTTTAATGCCAATTTGGGGACCAACGGGTTATCTGCAATTGTGCGGATGGCCTTGTCCGGCTCCCCGCCGGTGACTGGGTCCCGATCGTCCTAGCTTGTCTTGCGGTGCTGCTCATGTGTAGATATATTTTTATTTTTTATTTTTTTTATGGGAAGGGGCAGCCAGTGGTGACGTATGATCCAGGCACTCCGGCCTGGTTCATACGACGGCTGCTTTTGAATGCTCATGTGTAGATTTCGGCAGACGCCTTAAAAAGTTTTGAAACTTGAAACAGTGCTGCGCAGCTGCGTTGCCATTCCGCTGCTTTGCGATGTTCTGCCTGATTCACCTCTCCACTGGCCTTGTATTGCCTTGTTGTACTTACCATCTTCACCCATTGGCAAAGAGAACGCACCCAGACTGGTCATTATCGCTGTGGAGCTCAGCAGAGGCCTGTTTGAAACTCCAGAGAGTGGTGCCTTGTCATTCTGCTCCCAATCTGCTGCTTTGCCTACTGCCGGCTTCACCTCTCCATTCGCCTTGTCTTTTTCTTGTGACTACCGTCTGCAGCCAAATAGAACGCTGTGATATTATATCTTTATCTAGACTGTATCTAGGCCGACACCTGCCCTGATTACAGCGATATTAGCTTTAATATAATGAATGCCGCCGTTGTGTTGAGGTGGAGATGGTGTCCTCCTTTCTTGTCCTGTGTTGTCTTGCAGCCCCGCTGCTCGCTGCTCCACTTTTCTGTTGGGCTGCCGACTTGCTTCACTTGCACTACCGACTTCACCTGAATAGAACGTACTGTCATTCTCTCCGCCGCATCTGGACTGAAAGTTGTGCCAAATACTGGTAGAATGACAGTAAGCTTTGTTCAGGGGAAGACGGCCAATTGTCTCTGCTGACCTGCCTTTGTTGTCTTGCTGCCTGCTTTGCTCCCTCCCCCAATCTGTGCTTTACTCTTGCCCCAACCGCTGTCTGTCTGCACTTAGTCTACCCCCTTGCTTTCTGCTCCCTTCCTGCTCACCTGCTTGCCTTCTTCCTTCTTTGCTCCGTCCCTTGGCTGGTTGCCCGCCCACCCTCCCTCTGCTGTACTGCTGCCTTCCCTGCCTTTC